GTCATGTTCATTCACTGGAATAGTCATTCGTTCGGTAGCTTAGTATCTCTTAAACAGCAGCGGCTATCATTCCACTTCAGCCACCAACAAATAATAATATTAACTTTATATATAAAATACAAAATATATTATATATAATATATATATATATATATACAAATATATTATATACAAAATGAATATATGTATTTATTATATATACATTTTTATTTTGCTTTCAGACGTACGTTGGTGTGACGCAGTCACCGAGGAGCGCATCGCAGGTGATTGCGAGCGACCATCTAATTCTGATGGCAGTATTCCCTTGCTAGGGGGACGTGTTGAGGGCTACAGGCTGCGGTAGATAATTCTGATGGCAGTATCCCCTTGCTAGGGGACGTGTTGCGGGCTACAGGCTGCGGTAGATAACTCTTATGGCAGTATCCCCTTGCTAGGGGGACGTGTTGAGGGCTACAGGCTGCGGTAGATAACTCTGATGGCAGTATACCCTTGCTAGAAGGGAGATTGAGGGCAAAACATATGTATGAAGAATAAAATATCTTCGTCACGCAATAGAGATCACATCACTATTCGTCAGGGGCACGTCAGCGCAATCACACGAAAAGATACGACCTTATATGGAGTGCAGATCGAAACTAATATATCGATTTACAAATATATTGTAATCACGCAGTTTACACGAATGTAGCTGCAGACGACAGTTGCAGAAGACAATCGGTCTGTATCGGTGCTATTCCTGACCAGATTAATCATTCATTAACCAAACCAGTCGCGAAACACGCGAGGACAGTAAGGCTGCCTCTTTTTGGTAAAACGACCCATGCCCTCGATTGAGCCAGCTTCCCTTCCATGTGGTCTTGTTCAACCGGCTATCAAATCCTGTTTTTATTACTACTGCAACTATCGTGTGCAGCTACATTCGTGAGAACTGCACGATTACAATATAAGTAATCGATGTTTGCTTTACGCGCTTATATTAACTGGAAAGAAAAATGCATGCGATTCCGTAGCGCCACCTATTGTCGGATTATGTTCAAATGCGTGTGATATCAAGAGATGTGGTTCGAAATGACTTAATATTCTTACACGTCGCGTTTTTCTCAACGAAGCACTTCTATATATATATATATATATCTATCATATGATTCCAACGTATTTATAGCTGTATTATGCGCATTATTCAGATGCGCACAATCAGTGTATGGGTATGTATAAATTGGGGCAATAAAATTATGGCAATCTAGATCACGCGACTGCCATGATTCGCAGGCAAATAATCAAATTCTCACTGAATAGAAAGTTCGCAACAAAACGCGGCGAAATCAGAATTTACAGTGTTTACATTATAATTCATAATGTGTGTGCGTGCGTGTGTGTGTGTGTGTGTGTGTGTGTGCATGCGTGCGTGCGTGTGTGTGTGCGTGCGTGCGTGCGTGTGTGCGTGGGTGTGTGGGCGTATACCATGAATAGAAAACTCAGTAACAGGTTTTTTGTAGTAGAAATACGAAAAAGGAAGCCATTTATTGCTGACTGCCGTACGTAGCAAAACACACGAGTTTTTAAGGTTTACAATAACACACATGCGCACAACTGCCCGCGCCCTCCCAGCAGCAGCACGATGTCCGCACATAGCCTCCCTATCGTCTATACAGCCTACTGGGGTCTATCTGCTAGTCGGTCTGTCTGTCTATCTGCATGTGTCTATCTGTCTGACTGTCTGTCTGTCGGTCTGTCTGCCTATCTGTTTGTATTTCTGCCTATCTGTATGTCTAACTCTCTGTCTGTCTGTCTGTCTTACAGTTTCCACCCCACACAGCGCGCGAGGCCAGTTCGTGGTGCTCCACGCCGAAATAAATAGCATATGACGCGTTGTAACCGTGTCCAGCAGTAATGGGTATATACGTATATATATATATATATATACTAGCATCCGTTCGTACACACATGGCTGCTGCTGCTGCTTACGTAACGCTAACTGAAACTCGACGCAGCAGCAGCAGCAGCGTCAATACAGTAGTATTAATAGTAGGTAATAATAATAATAATAATAATAATAATAGTAGTAGTAGTAGTAATACTAGTAGTAGATGATGATGCTGGCAGAACACAGTCTTATACATGACTAGATCAAATAGCGGATATCACAATTAGGGTGAGAAGCCCGCGCTAGAACGCTGTGTGTGTGTATGCTGCTGCTACATCTTCTCTCCATCCATCCACCAATATTACCGGAATCTGACAAACACGGGGAGGTAATACAAACAGCTGATAGACCAAAGGAGGGAAGGGGAGAGGAGATGAGGGAAGGGGAGATGAGAGAAGGGAAAGGAGAGGAGATGAGAGAAGGGTGAGGGTGAGCAAGGTAAAGCGGGAGCCGGAGAGGAGAGCGCGAGGAAGGGGGTGAAGGCAGGAGGGTGAGAATGGAATAATGAAAAGGAGAGGAGACGGGAGAAAGGGAAAGGTTGGACGCATGGATGAGAGATTCGTTGACGTATGGCAGTATTCGGAGCTATCGTCATAACGGCAGTCGTACATGAATAGTGTACGCGGAACAGAAACATACCTATATTCATGTGGTACTGATCATGACAGCTCTATACCGTACCGCACGGGCCAGGCCCCTGTGCTGCTATCGCTACGGTGCCACCACGGGCACTTGAAACGTTTCAATATTAGAATTATGGTAAATATACCATATTAATTACATTACATTATCCATTAATTATGGTAATTAATGTTTCTCTACTCTCCTTCGCTTATTATTAGCCGAAATAAGCCTATTATTAGTCTAAATGAGCCTATTATTAGCTTACAGATAGCTTTCTGTAAATGCCGTTCAAATTCTTCTCTACAACAAACGAGTACACCACACGCACGCCGCTGTGCACAAACAACAAAGTTACAGAGTTTTGTTGTTTTGTGCACAGCGTTCTGCCTTATCATTCTTATGCCATTTAACTTAGCGACCGATTCGTCACACATACAATTTGAAGCAAGAAAGCGTGAGACCTGCTACTACTGAGCCCCCCCCCCCCCCACACACACACACGCACGCGTGCACTGACTAGCGCGGTGCTTTCACAAACACTACTAAAACCTGATCACTGCAAACTCATGCTTAATGTAATATTCACTAACTACGTGTAACATGTGTAGAATATACCCTGCTATGTTGTGAGCGCATTCCAGAACACATGAGCGTGACACTTTACTTGAACAGCTCTCCAGGGTAAAATGATATGATCTAGTTCATGTCAAATAGACCATGTATAAAAATGAAACATTGACCTACGACTTAAAATTTTGACATCGCACAAAACGGATGTACCCTATTCTACAATAATGACTAGTTTTCTGATTACACACGTAGGCCTATATATATATATATACGCGCGCGGTTGTGCTGTGTGTAGTGTCGTATATACGTATGCGTGTGCGTGCGTGAGTGCGTGTGTGTCTGTCTGCCTGTCTGTGCATCTGCGTGTGCCTGCGCGTCTGCGCGTGTGACTGCGTGTGTGCGTGCGTGAGTGCGTGTGTGTCTGTCTGCCTGTCTGTGCATCTGCGTGTGCCTGCGCGTCTGCGCGTGTGACTGCGTGTGTGCGTGCGTGTATGTGTGCATACGTGCGTGCGTGCGTATCATTAGAGAAAGAGCAAATAGAAATAGCATGACTGCGAGTGGCCTTTTTAGTAACACTAAACTTAAGTAGTTATTATGGATAAATTTCCACTCGTGAAAGAAATCACCAAATACTCATCAATAATTACATCATTTAAATAATTGAAGGCAATAAAATTTGTGAATTATCAATTAATTAATTCTTAATTGAACCAGTTAGTTCAATTTTAGATCTTAAGTAGATCTTAGTAGATCTTTAGTTATTAACCAAATTATAATATCAAGTTTCAATGTAGGTTGGTTGCGACTGTGCGTGTATATACGTAGCCTCACTTGTTTGTAACCATACTTGTGAGAGTTTACATGTACGCGTGTATGCTTGTGAGTAACTGTGTGTGTGTCGCTGCGTGCATATGGCTTTGCTTGATTGTGGATGTGTTTGTACTGACGTGTGTACCTGCGTTCCTATTTCTATGTGTGCATGTGTGTGCAAACTGTGCATGCACGAGTGTCTATATTGGTGCGCATGTTTACCTGTGTACGTGCGTACGTGCGTACGTGCGTGTGTGCATGTGTGAGTGTTTGCGTGAATACATGCGCATGTAAAAACCTTAGATCTGTTTAGGTTTCTTGACATCTAAATACGTTAGCACTGATTAATATGGTAATTACTAGTGTTGTACATGAATTTTTCTCGGTGGATTTACCTCATGCCCATACCGGAAAAACAGAGGTCCATACCCAGTGCTGCCGACTAGTGGATAAAGTAATGACAATGCAGCCATCACTATACTAGGTATGATGTTATATGGGCAAGCACGAAAAGACTCAAATCACACGCCCGACAAACTGTAATAGTTTTAGTTCAATAAAATTATCATTAGAAATATAATCAATCTAACATGTTCCGGCTTGCTATCATAACCTTTTTACCTTAACCTGCAGACGCTGATTTTTCCTCTGCTTCGCCTCCCACGAATTGAAAACCTAAACTGCACAGTGGGGTTCTATCAAACAATGAAATGACTACCATCATAAGTCTCGGTTTGGGTTGGTCGTTGTCTAGCTTTATGTAGCATTGGGGTTCGCATCCAAAGCATTAGCAGGGCAGATAGTCATTCCTTTGTTGGATGGATACCAAGAGTCCATAATAGAGCCTCTGTTAGGTCTCTATTAAGGCTGAGAGGGTCTATGTCTCCCTGGATACTGCCGGAACGTACCCTGGGTACGGTCCGGTATACCGGAACGTACCCTGGTACTATCTAATATGCCGGACCGTACTTCGCCTACTCCACTAACGAGTCTAGGGAGTCGCCTACGCCTACTCCCTAACCCTAACCCTAACCATATCAGATAGTTACCAGGGTACGTTCCGATAATACCGGACCGTACCCAGGGTACGTTCCGGCAGTACCCTGCGGGACATAGACCCTATGAGCTCTATTAATCTAATAGGGTCTCTATTACGGACTCTTGATGGATACTAAACTATAGTGAATAATATCAATACAGGCAACAACAAACAAGTGTGCCACCAGTTTAAAACTAGCACTCGTTTGGCGTAGCACACAGCAAGAGGATACAAACTACGTTAGATGGGACCTAAGGAGACTTTCCCCACGCTCATGCTATCCTGTAGCAGCACTTCACATAGTTAGTGAAAAAATTCCAATATACAATATGTTCATTATATACAAGGTTAAAAAAGAGTGATTATGGCTTCTAGAAATCATGCGAGGGTGACACCAAAATTCACCCTGAGAAAAAACAAAACAAATGTAAAACAAATGCCTGTCAGGTTCTAACGGACATGCTAATGTAGTCAACGTGGCTATACAAACCAAAAAACAACGCATCCAGAATTCAAGAGAACCGTGGGTTTTAGGGTTTTAAGACGAAAGAAAATTGCACCGTATAATTGTGAAGATAACGTCAGACAAGTAGTGACCCACAGACACCGCACACCCTTAAAGATTTTTGTTCTACAATATTCTCAACTAAATATGCTATATTTCACTATTGCATAGACTGATAAAAACAGAGTTACTCAGGATTATCCTGTGTTATGCAGCAGCTGTTGTGCTGTGTGACCTTACCATGACCTCACAATATGTGTCCATGAAGTGTACATACTGAGGACTTGGGGGAATTTACCGGTTCACTGAATTCCTCTACGTTTATCTATTAATTTTCAACAGGATAAAATTACAATGAATTACTCATGATGCCAATATGGCACATATATGAGCACTATAAAGGAAAGCTTTTGAACAAACAATCATTCATGAGTTTTGCCAAAATTTCTAAAACTCAAACTGTGTTCCAATATTATGAATAAACAACCAAGACTTCTAATCCTGCTTCCCGACCAGGTGGCACTTTAAATTGTGCTTTTCTACTTACGTAACTTTAACAATTCATACAATCTCTCTATAATTTTGAGGTGGCCTTCTCTGACAACCATAAATAGAGGTGAGGCGTAGACCAAGTCTAACTAAAATAAATTATTATAAAATTGTAATAAGTTAATAAACAAATAATAAAATATTGGCTCAAACCTCAAACCTCGCTTATAAACAGTCACAGCCCACTCAAATAACTTTGCATACACTTTTCTAAAAAAAAGTGTAGACCTATGTATACAAAAAACAAAATGGCACCCCAAGATACAACCTGAAGGCAGGTGAGCATCTCCTCATGGCAAAACGTCACATTCACCCCGCATGCATCTGTGCATGGACGAATAATTGCTGTGTTGTCTGGTAACCGGCTAACCTTTAAACGGCCGTCACGTGATCGTCGAGACCGAACGGCTCGTTGCTGCGAATGCTGTGCCGTGAGCTGGTGCGGGAAACAGAGAGCGAACCGTTCGAATCCGCACAGCGCCCCCTGTGGCCGGAAAGCTGCGACAGGTTTGAGTGAGTGCTACTGGAGCGAGAACTGGTGAGGGCTGCCAGGTCATCTTCATCATCTGCAGATAGATGGCGAGACTGTAGCACGCAGTGATACATGACAAGCGTAATAGTAATTTTGATTAATAATTAATTTAACTCATTACTTAAATAGCTTTTATGAGCAGAGTGATTTCTAATGGCAGTTACGAATTATTAATTAGTCAGTACATTTAGTCAGTGTCCATGCTGGGGCATATTACTAACACATGTTCAGTCACAGGCAAGCTGTATAAATAGCAACTATGGGTCACATCTCTTTGGGGCTCTTATCTTTCTGTGAGATTGTAAAGTGGTATGTATGTGTGCGTGCGTTCGAGCGTGCGTGCGTTCGTGCGTGCGTGCGTGCAGTGAGACTGTGTTGCAGAAGAACAGCATTTACTTGAAATTATTAGTTGATAGAGAAAACATAGAGACACTGGTAGTAAATACAATTTGTGTTCATTTACAAACTTTTTACTATTGAAACGGTCCATGTGCCTGTTCGTATGATGTGTAGCGTAGTACACTAAGTACAGTGCTTACTCACCTCGCTGCACACTCATTAGGTGCCGATATTTTCCAGGACTCTTGAGGTATGATGAGAATGTCTTTGGTCGATTCTTTGGCAATTTAAGTTCACCTAGAATTTATTAAAAGTAGCCACTTTAGATAAGACACTTAAAGCATACCACTGAGGAAAAATTAACACTCGCCCAGTCACCCCAGGACGGTAAAAATAATGCTGACCCCCAGAATTTCATCAGAAGATCGCCTAAAAAGTGAGGATTTGTTTGCACAGGTAAACATAACATAATCTGCGGAATCACTATATTCTGAGTCCTAGGACTACACCAATGCAATTCGCTTGCCATTTCCTAAAATCCTGATACATATTTTGGCTGAAGGGGTGGTTGTCGTATCAGGTACTACAGATATGTACCCGAGGTACGTATATGTATACACAAGTGTACCAGACCTGTATCTTCTCAGCATATATGTACCCTGTGTTTACATAAACGTACCTGCCCCTGAGATGGAGATCGAATGAAGACGGTCATGGAGGAGGAGTAGGGGGCAGGAGGAGGAGGAGGAGGAGGAGGAGGGAGGAGGAGGAGAATGAGGGAAGAAGGCGATGGAGTAGGGCGAGGAGGAGGAGAGGAGGAGGAGGAGGAGGAGGGGGAGGAGTTGAGGAGAATATGATGGTAGGGGCAAGGAAGAAAAGGGAGAGAGAAGAGGAGGAGCGGGAGGACAGAAAGAATCGAAATGAAGACGTCATAGGAGATGGAGTAATGGGCTAGAAAGAGAGGAAGGAAGAGAGGGAGAAGGTGATGAGTAGTGCAGTGTAGGGAGGAGGAAGAGAGGCAGGTTAGGAGGAGAAGCGATGCAGAGAAGAGACAGGTGATGAGTAGGAGGAGCATGAGGGAGGAGTAAGTGAGGGGAGAAGTTGCGATGGAGGTGGAGTGGCGAGAAGTAGTAGGAGAGAGAAGCGAGGAGAGGAGAGAGGCGTGATGGAGAGGAATACGGAGTAGATCACCCTTCATCAATCCTTGCTCATCTATCACTGTCCCCTTCCTCCTGCGCTACCTATCTCCCATCCTCTCTCCTTCTGCCGCCCCCTACTCCCCTCGGCATCACGCTTCTCCCCTCCTCCTCCTTCACCATCTCCAGACACCTTCTCCCTCCTCCTCCTGCCTCCTGCCTCCGCCTCCTACCCACACCCTTGCCTCTCCTCCTTCACGCCCCCTCCTGCCTGCCGCCTTCTCGCATGGCCGACACCTTGCTTCCCTCCCTGCCTCTCCTCCTGCCAGACCGTCTTTCATCGACTTCGCATCACCAGTTCGTCTCCACGCCTCTGCTCCCGCTTCCCGCCCTCCCCGCGCCTCCATCCTCCTCCTGCCTCGACCCTACAGCCCATCACCTTTTCCCCCTCCTCCTCATGCCTCCTCGTCGCCCTTGCCGCCCCCTTACCGCCCCTCCACGACCGATCTTCATTCGACTCTCCCCATGGCACCCTTCTCCCGCCTCGCTCCTCCTCCCCCTCCTCCCATCTTTGCCCCTCCGTCCCCCTACTCCATCACTCTTCTCCCCCTCCTCCTCCTGCCTCCTCCTCCTGCCCGCTCCCGACTACTTCCACCTCCATGACCATCATTCATTCGATCTCGGCAACACGCATTCTCTGCTCTCCTCCTGCCCAGCTGCCTCCTCCCCCTACTCATCACCTTTCTCGCCCCTCCTCCTGCCTGCCCTCCTCCTCCTGCCTCCGCCCCCTACTCCTCCCCCCATGACCGTCTCATTCGATCTCGCATCACCTTTCCTGGCTTCCTCCTCCTCCCTTCGCTCACCTCCTCCCTCTCCTGCGCTCCCCCCCCCTACCCAATCACCTCCGACCCCTCCACCTCCTCTGCCCGCCACTCCCTCCATGACTCGGCTCAATATCGATCTCCACCTCAGGGGCATTTGACGTTTATTAAATCACAGGGTACAGCTAATATGCTGAGACGATAACAGGTCTGGTACCTGGTAACATACAATAACGTACCTGGTCTGGGGTACATATCTGATAGTGACCTGACCTGATACGACAACGACCCGACCCTTCAGCCATATGCCCATGAATTACGTTCAAACTATTACATAAATATTGCTAAACAACATGCTAGGAACAAGGACGCAGCAATGCTTTACTGAAAAATATCTCCGTTCCAAATATTCACGCTCTCATACGATATCATAGTATAAAGCAACCATTTTAGTATGTCAATCCGAGAACCTGATTCCCAAACTTGGGTGGCGTCGATTGCCATAAACTGGACCCCGAAAATTCTGAGCTGTTGCTATAACGTTTACTTTTAACGAGCCAGGTGGCCTATTTTTGCGGCAAATTTTATGCATCATATATAACATGTGTTCACCTGGCCTAAAAGGTCTGGAGATGCCTTAAATTTTGTTTGGTGTTGGGTTGCGGCATTGTTCGAGTCCTAGCAAAGCGACACTGCAGTCAGCAAAGGGGCATGTGCCCCTCCAGAATTTTTTTAGAAAATGATGCAATTATTGGCATTCTTAAGAGCTATGTAGTGCCATTATACGCACTGTGCTATGGAAGCAACATGATTTTGTCCCGCCGAGGCGGTGTTCGAGAAAAGTATTGTCGTGGCGCGCTGAGAGATTGAACGTGGCGGCCTGAGCCCTCCCGTGCCAATGCAGGGGAGACACGTATCGAATATGACTCTATCACAACCTATGGACTACACACAGTCCATAAAACGGTAGAACAATTAATCTCGACATATATCACGAACAGGAAGTTGTACATTACTACTATTTGCTCCTTGATCAACATGGCTACGCCGTCTAGACACACTGACACAACTTGCTGATATACCAAACCAACAACCAGTCCTTGGGAGGGGCACAAACCAACGAGCACGGGGGACCACACACGTACCTCTCCTGACGTGTGCGGGCGATCTCACAGCGATGACTACGCAGAAGTGATCGACGAGAACACAGGCAAACGGAAGGCACCGAGGCCATGAAATGTCCTCTAACAGTCAGGTCATACAAAGTCTATCGTCTGTCGCTATCGCCAAATGATGTCGTCTGGCAGAAAGCATGCCCTGCTTAGGTTAACCATAATACCTCATATCTATGTCGAGAACTACGTTCGAATTGTTGAACTGCAGGGAGGCTAAATATATTTTAATATGGAAATTAATATTAAGGGTCCCGGTCCAGAGCCATACTTACACTGCATGAATAGGAAATACCTCTTCACGGGGCGTCATGCAAGGATAAAAAAAATTATTACAACCACGTTGAGACACACAGGTCAACCACCACCCTAATTGAACCCAACCACCTGTCTTTTCGTCTCTGCGAAAATCACTTATGCAATCAGGTCACAAAGTAATGAATGTTTGTGAGTAGTCAAATCCAACACGATGCAGCCACGCAGAATACAACATTTGAACATTAAATAGACAGATACAACAACATAGGCCGGCATGATAACACACACTACACTCACAACATTCATACAACCTCACACACGAACCCCGTGTATATATGTTGCCATTATTTAATATTGACCATACGGGATACCGGCAGCCAATTTGCGACTAGGGGTACTGGCACTATGAGCTCACTGCTGATCTCCTCGCATGTGACCTATCATGTTTTCCGATACCGATGATAAGCATGAAAGCTCTTAGTATGTAGGAACCATAAGGCCATAAATATTGATGAGCCATCAGACTACGCACAAGCTCAAAAACGTGTGGCATAATCAATAACACCGATAGTGAAAGAAACGAATAAAATCTCGTTTGTCTATTAATACCGCAATACTGCAAATCATTATAGCAATAGAGTAACGTACACGAGAAACTCATTGAATATACATAACGTTTTACTAAAACCACTCATTGTCTGACTAAACTACATGTGGGATCATTTACCACATCGATTCACAGATTGTCCAAGCAGGTAAACGACTCGTCCACACATCGTCTGTGAGGTAAGAATGCAATCAACCATGTAGCAGGCAAACTGACTGTCCTGAGCATGTGGCACGCGCGTATACGCGCGGTGAACTACACAAAACGTTCACCACAGTCACAAACAGTATCACACAAATATAGCGAAATCCAGGTATTTAACAAAAAGCTAACCGTGGTACACGCTCAGAGAGAGAGAGAGAGAGAGAGAGCCGAGAGAGAGAGAGAAGAGAGAGAGAGAGAAGAGGAGAGAGAAGACGAGAGAGAGAGAGAGAGACGAGAGGAGAGAGAGAGAGAGAGAAGAGAGAGAGAGAGAGAGAAGAGAGAGAGAGAGAGGAGAGAGAGAGAGAGAGAGAGAAAGAAGAGAGGAGAGAGAGGGTAGAGAGAGAAGAGAGAGAGAGAGAGAGGAGAGAGAAGAGAGAGAGAGAGAGAGAGTAGAGAGTAGAGGAAGAGAGAGAGAGAGAGAGAGAGAGAAGAGATGGAGAGACAGAGAGAGAGAGAGAGACGAGGAGAGAGAGTAGAAGAGAGACGAGATAGAGAGAGAGAGACGAGAGAGAGAGAGAGAGAAGAGGAAACAGTGTACTCAAAATCACAGCCCAGTATTTAGCTGGTTTAGGCATTTTTCTCTAGAACGACATAGAAAGCCCTGTTAAGCTTTTATATAGCAGGTACATAGGAAACGCGAATACGTTTTGGCCATATTACGCGTCGGAACGTTATCAGTCACCTAACAAAATGATGAAGCTGAAATAAAGCGGCTCCCAGGCCCACACGAAACAAGATGTGAGGGCTCTTCGTAAGTTAACCCCTGTGTGATGCAAAAGAAAAAAGTGGGACCTGTAGTAAGTGCTCAGCAGGTGCCATATACTAATGCTTGTTATTTACCAGACCCTGGCTGTACGCTGAGGCAAACTGCCACAAATCACGGTGAGGTTGCACATTACTGACCTTACCTGTTGGCCCGTAACCTTGGCTTGCACAAACATGCAACATGACTCTGTTCAAGTCCTAATGCTTGTTATCCCCCAATTCTAGATTTTCACCCTCAAATGCACCAGGCCACTTCATTCATATTCTAGCAGCTGCGATGTAGATGGCAAAAATTTTTGTCGTTAGACTCTAACCATCGAAACTGCCACCATAAACGGTAATGAGCATGTCCCACAAAAGCACCCAAAACTATTACACTAATCTATGACCGCTTTTGCGTAAACACGAATTTTTCTGTGTAGTTTATTACGCTATTTAGCAGGATGTTTGTAAATCTCACAAACATCTGAAGTTCGTTCCAAATTGTTCATACCGATTACATTATTGCTGGGACATATGAGAATATCTAACTTATAATACTGATTAATACGTATGAATAAACAATCTGGCCAGTACGTACACATTATGTCGTCATTCGTACTCGCTCTGAATATAAGACGCTTTTGAAACAGAGAAGCAGACGATAGTTACTTAGTATTTAAACTCTAATAGGGTAAATCTAAGCTCAAAAAAAGCGGTCTTACCGTCAGAAAAAATTGCGGAGAATGGCTATGCCACGAATGAGAAAATAGGAAACACACAAATACTTCCTGAACAAGGCACGAAATACTGGTTATGAAAATCGAATAGCACATCTGCTAGCAAACGTGTTTTCTTAGCAAAAAAAAAAATGTATGTAAAAAAATTCACCAACTGCCTCGCAACAGTACTAGATCACAAATACATTCGCCAATCGAATAGGGGAGCCATATTAATCGAGAGATCCTACTGTCCCCGCAGGTACTGCCAGCGAACGTACCGGCCCTGACGGTCCCCCGGTATAATTCGCGAACGTACCGTACACTAATATGCCAGAACCATACCGTCTACTTCCAGCTAGCGAGCTAGGAGTCGCCTACGCCTACTCCCTAACCCCTAAACACCCCCGAACCCTACCTAAACCCTAATCCTAACCTAACCATACAATAGGACGCAGGGTACGTTCCGGCAGTACCCTGGGGGACATAGACCCTATGAGCCATATTTATGCGCTATTTATGTGCTATGTTATTTTATACTTCTTCTATACACTACATCATTACATGGCAAAACGTGTTACTACAAGACAGTTCAAAATGTTGTTGTTCTGCATCCAATGAAGTAAAGAGGAAGGGCATCTTTGTTCACCTAGTAATAACCACCACCTAGTCGTCACCACTACAACATACCGATTGCTGTGGCACTCAATGATTTCAACTATTTCATGCTGTTCTGCGACCTTATGTTACTCACGCTCATAGGGTCTGGCGAGGTACTGTCTGGCATATTAAATAGTACCAGGGTACGTTCCGATATATCGAACCATACCCAGGGTACCCTCTGATAGTACCCTGGGGGACATAGACCCTCTCAGCGTTACTCACACGCAGCTCATATGCTTTGTAATGTTCTCTTTTTTTTAGAGCAGGTCTCATTACGCTAGATATGAACGCATCGCTTTAGGTGCACACTTGTCTAATCTCTTGCCCTCACACCCTAATATCTTGTAATGAACTCGAATCACTTATCCACATCAAATTTTAATATTTAACGACGTTTTCTTTGTGTCTATCACCACTTTCCAGTATTTTAGAGCAACAGATAGCTGCATTACTACAATTGTAATGTACGAATGTTACAGTCTACACTGTCTGCTAATAAAACCAATGTTTATAAAGCGGGCATGTAGTAAATGTACCCATATTAATGGTATAAACATGTCACCAAACTATAAATAGCCCTTTGTGTCACGTCAGATTAAAAAAATACTCTATAATTGGCATTTTAACATCACGTTACAGGCAACATAGCCGCGCTATGGAAGAGATGAAACTTCTGAAGAAGTTAGTAAATTTAGAGTATGTAATCACAACAATTCAATATTCGATATTTTTCCTTACAAACATTGATAAAACAAATGAGCACATAAAAATATGTGACAGAATAATAAGCTTAGTACTAGGATTTGCATAGCAACTCCTGTGATTAAATCTCGCATTTTGGATAGCACAACTAGAGTTTTGCCTTGAAATTTTTGATGCAATACTATTTATCTTGAGTCATGGATGAGACAGGTTATGCTTCCTATCAGTTGAAAACTAATCATGGACACCATAGCAACATCAACAAAAAACTTACCTGCAACTGAATGGCAGAGAACATTCAGTAGAAAACCCAACACCACCAGATATGTGTTCGCTGCATAGAAAACATTTGCAAAATTATCAATCAATACAATGTAACAATAATTGTTCTGCATATATGTTTATAAATATCTCTTAATAAACATGATTACCAGAATCATATTTACAACATTTGACAGTAAGAATTACAAGCAATTTTGGGTATTGTGTTACATCTGGCACACAGCTTACCTAATAAACTAAAAAAGCATGTCCACATGCCACATACACCATGTTTCATGCATATGGAAGGGCTTTCATGGTAGAGTAAGTTGGAAAAAGTGCTAACCTAGCTAGTATTCTTACACCTATGCAAAAACTGAAGAGGTATTTCAGCCATCGTTCATCGTGTCATGGCGAATAGCTTAGACAACATTCCTAAAATCATATTCGGCAGCATGATTGCAGATAATTCAGTGGAATTTCTGCACAGAGCGGTTATTGCATAAAAACATTGAACTAATGCATTTTTACCTCATTATTTTACTCTAACATTAGATTAAAGATGCAGGAAATTGATCACAGGCAGGGTTTTCATTATCTTTTATAGTAACAGGCGAAATGCTTTTGCAACAAGCTGTGGGAGAGCGTGGGGGGGGTCCCCCTACTCCTCCTCCATGACCGTCTTCATTCGATCTCCATCTCAGGGGCAGGTACGTTTATGTAAACACAGGGTACATATATGCTGAGAAGATACAGGTCTGGTACACTTGTGTATACATAAATTATACGTACCTCGGGTACATATCTGTAGTACTACCTGATACGACAACGACCCGACCCCTTCAGCCATATTTTGCCCATGAAATTTACTTCAAACTATACATAAAATTGCTAACAACTGCTAGGAAAAGACTTGCAGATCTTTACTAAAAATATCTGTTCCAAATATTCACGCTCATAATACATAATAAAGCACCATTTTAGTGTCAATTTCCGAGAACCTGATTCCCAAACTTTGGTGCTTCATGTGATAAACTGGACCCCGAAAATTTGAGCTGGGTTCTTAATAAGTTTACTTTAACGAGCCCAGGTGGCTCCTAGTTTTTTGGGCAAGATTTTATCATATATATTAACAGTGTTTCCCCTGGCCTAAAAGGTCTGTGAGATGCTAAATTTTTTTTGGTGTGTTTGCGCATTTCGAGGTCCTAGCAAAGCGAGCACTGCAGGTAGCTAGGGGCATGCCCCCCAGAATTTTTTTAGAAAAATGATGCAATTTGGTGCATTCTAAGCTATTTTAGTGCATTATACGCACTGTTCTATGGAAGAACATTGATTTTTGTCAGCGAGGCGGTGTTTTTGAGAAAATATCTGTGTGGCGGCTGAGAATTTGAACGTGGCGGCCTGCCTCGCTCGTGTCAATGCAGGGGAGACACTGTATTAATATTGTATCTATCACAACCTATGGTATTACTCACAGTCCATAACAGAACAATTATACTTCACATAAATCACAACAGGAAGTTGTACATTATTATCAGTTTGTCTTGTCAATCATGTACTCTTGACACAACAAAACTTCTGATAACCCAAACAACAACAGCTTGGGGAGGGGACAAACACAACGAGCACGGGGACCACACACGTACCTCTCTCTGACTGTCGCATCTTCATCACGATGACTACGATGAAGGTGATGACGATGAACACAGCAACGAAGGCACCGAGGCCAATTGATGTCTTCTTAACAGTCAGGTCATCAAAGTCATCGTCTGTCTCTATGGCAAATATGTCGTCTGTGGTGCAAAGATTCCCTGTTAGGTTACCTAATACTCATATTCTATGTCTGAGAACTACGTTTTAATTGGTTGAACTGCAGTGTGAGGTAATTATATTTTAATATTGAAATGTAATAGAAGGGTCCGGTCCAGAGCAACTTACACTCATGATAGAAATTACCTCTCACGTTCATGCAAGGATAAAAAAAATTATTACACACGTGAGACACACAGGTTCAACCACCAATAATTGAACCCAACACCTTTTTCGTCTCAAATCACTTACAATCAGACAAAGTATTGATGTTTGTAGTTATGTAAATCCACACACATGCATGCACCCAGAATACACATTTGACATTATAGACAGATATACACACATGCAGGCATTGATGAACACAAGCACTCACTCACATACATTCATACACTCACACACGAACCCCTGTGTATATATGTTGCCATTAATTTTAATATTGACCATACGGGATACTGCCGCAGCCAATTTGCGACTAGGTTATGTGCACTTATGACTCACTGCTGGATTCCTGCATGTGACGCCTATTCATTTCCGATTACCGATGAGTAATCATGAAATTCTGCTTAGTATTAGGGAACCTAAGGCCATAAATATTTGGATGAGCCTACCAATGACTACCACAAGCTCAAAACGGTGGCATAATCAATAACACCATAGGTGAAGAACGGATAAATCTTTTTTGTCTATTATTCATCCGCAATACTGCAAATTCCATTTTACAATAGGAGTTAGCTACAGAGAAACTCAATTGAATATACTTTTTACTAAACCACTTCATTGTCTGTACTATATACAGTGATCTTACCACAGTCGATTTCATCAGAGTTGTCCAAGCAGTTAACGACTCCATCACATCGTTGTGAGTAAGGAATGCAATCACCATTGTAGCAGGCATACTGACTTCCTGAGCATGTGGCACTGTCGTATACTGGCGGTGAATCTACACACAACGTCACCACAGTCACAAACAGATCACACAAATATACGAATTCAGTATTTAACAAAAATGCTACCTGGGTACACGTTACAGAGAGAGAGAGAGAGAGAGAGAGCGAGGAGAGAGAGGAGAGAGAGAGAGAGAGAAGAGAGGAGAGAGAGAGAGAGAGAGGAGAGAGAAGAAAGAGAGAGGAAGAGAGAGGAGAGAGAGAGAGAAGAGAGAGAGAGAGGAGAGAGAGAGAGGAGAGAGAGCAGAGGAGAGAGAGAGAGGAGAGAGAGAGGAGAGAGAGAGAGAGAGAGAGAGAGAGAGAGAGAGAGAGAGAGAGAGAGAAACAGTGTACTCAAAATCACAGGCCATGTATTTTACGTGGGTGTATGGCTTATTTTTTCTCTAAACGACATTAGAAAGCTGTTAGCTTTTATAAGCAGGTACATAGGAAACTGCTGAATTACGTTTCTGGCCATTATTACCCTGGTACTGTTAGCGTCACTAACAAATGATGAAGCTGAATATAACGGTCCCAGGCCCACACGAAATCAAGATGTGCCCTTCGTAAGTTAACCCTGTGTGATGCATAAAGGAAAAGAATATGGGACACTGTAAAATGCTAGGCAGTGGCCATATATATGCTTGTTTATTTTACCCTTGCTGTACTTGAGGCAAACTGCCAAAATCACGGTGAGGTTGCACATTCTACCTACTGTTGGCTAACTTGGCTTGCACAAACATGCCATGGACTCATTTCAATTCTAATGCTTTTATCCTATTCTTAGATTTTCCCTGTCTAGAATGTCACTGCCACTTTCTTCTACATGCGATGTAATGCCAAATCGTTGCGTTAACTCTAACATAAATCTTGCATAAACTGTAATTACATGCACAAAAGCACCAAACTACACTATTATGCCCTTTTAGTAAACATTGAATTTTCTGTGTATTTATTTCGTATTTATAAGATTGTTTTAAATCTTCACAACATCTGAAGTTCGTCCACATACTGATTTACATTATTCTGACATGAGAATATTTAACTATAATACTGATTTATACGATGAATAAACAAGTTCTGCCAGTACGTACACATTATGTCGCATTGTTACTGCTCTGATATATAATCTTTCGAACAGAAACAGACTGATTAGTTACTTTAGTATTTAAACTTCTAATATGGGTAGAATCTAAGCTCAAATAAAAACGGTCTTACCGTCTAGAAAAAATTTGCGAGAATGGGGCTATGCCACGAATGAGAAATTTGGAAACACACAACATATTCCTGGGATGACAAGGCACGAAATACTTTATAAAATTCGAATAGCAACATCTGCTATGCAAACTGTGTTTTGCTTAGCAAAAAAAATGTAGTGTAAAAAAATTCACCACTGCTGCAACAGTATACATTCAAAAATACAATTCCCAATGAATAGGGGAGCCATATTTATGCTGAGAGGATCTATGTCCCCCGGGGTACTGCCGGAACGTACCCTGGGTACGGTCCGGTATACCGGAACGTACCCTGGTACTATCTAATATGCCGAACCATACTCGTCATACTCACTATACGAGTTTAGGAGTCGCCTACGCTACTCCCTACCCTACGAACCCTAACCTTAGGGCCCTATCCTAACCATAACCATATCAATAGTGCCAGAGTACGTTGCGGACCTTTATCGGACCGTACCCAGGCGTACGTTCGGCAGTTCCCTGGCGGCGACTAGGACCCTTTGAGCATATTTTAGGCGTATTTATCGTTGCTATGTTATTTTAAACTTTTCTTCTATACACTAGATCATTACATGGCAAAAGTGTTACTACAAGACAGTTCAAAATGTGTTTGTGTCTGCATCCAATGAAGTAAAGGGAAGGGCATCTTTGTTCACCTATAATACCACCACCTAGTCGTCACCACGTCAACAGTTACCGATTTGCTGTGGCGCACTCAATGATTCAATCTATTTTTGCTGTTCTGCCCCGACTTATGTTACTCACGTCATAGCGGTCTGGCGAGGTCCCTGTCTGGCGCATATTACAATAGTACCAGGGTACAGTTACGGATATATCGAAACCATCCAGTGGTTAGCTCTGATTAGTACGCGCTGGCGGGACATAGCTCCCTCAGCGTTACTCACGACGCAGCTCGATATTGCCTTTGTATGTTCTCGTTTTTTTAGAGCAGGGTCCTCATTACGCCTGATATGAACGCATCGCTTTAGGTGCCACGTTGTCTAATGCTCGTTGCCTCATGCCACCCTAATGTATCTTTGCTAATGGATACTCGAATCACTTTTCCACATCAAATTCTTATATATTTACGACGTCTTTCTTTGTGTCTATCACCACTTTCCAGTATTTTGGAGCCGACAGATAGCAGATTACGTACAATTTGTATGTATCGAATGTTAAGTCTACACTGTCTGTTAATCAAACCATGTTTAAAGC